TGTTTTCTGGTGTTTTTAATAGCATTGGAAGTTGTACAACCTCATACTCACTAGGTCAGTAAAGAAGAAAAAAAAAAGGAAAATGGTAATTGTTGGAAGGTGGTGGGAAAGAGGAAGCACACTAAAGCACTGTTGTTTTAGTTGTTGATCCAAAAATTTTGGAAGATAATTTAGACCTGTACCACAATAGTCTGTACCCAAAGATGCCACTACAAGGCATATACCCATAAAAGGTATTCTTCCTCCCCAAGTTTGTATTAAACATTTGCCAACACACCATTGCCAACTGTCCGCAGTCACATGGATGAAACACTGATCCATTAAAATTTAAGAACAGTGTTTTAACATATGTCTCCATACCAACTAAATACTGATAGGAAAGAAAAGCTTTCAAAACATAAAGGACAAATGGAAAAAACAAAAACCAGGTGAGAGTCTGATGAGGCTATGTATTATCACTAAATCTACCTCCTACTGAAGTTGTTCGGAAGGTGCTTTCAATGAGCTTAAAGGGGGCAAACTTACATCTTCATAAAACTTTTATTCATTTACCAAAAGCAATTATTTCATCCACCCTACAATAGTTTATAAAACATTAAATCACAAACACTTGTCTCAGGATCATTCCCATCATTAAAAAAGATGGGATGGACAAAAATATTAGTAATGAAAATGACAGCAACAATAGTTAATTTCGCAGCTAGGTGATATAGTGGATAGAGTGCTGAACCTGGAATCCCGAAGTACTGAGGTCAAATCCAGCCTCAAACACTAGATGTATGAGTCTGAGCAAGTTGTTTAACCTATCTGCCTCAGCTTCTTCATTTATAAAATGAATATAATAACAGCACCTACCTCCAAGAGTTGTGAGGCTAAATGAGATATTTGTAAAGTGCTTTGCAAGCCTTAAAATACCATATAAATGTTTTATTGGGCGGCTAGGTGATGCAGTGGATAAAGTGCCGGACCTGGAGTCAGGAAAACCTGAATACAAATCTGGCTTCAGACACTTAGTAGTTGTGTGACCCTGGGCAAGTCACTTAACCCTAATTGCCTCAGTTTCCTTATCTGTAAAAAAATAAGCCAGAGAAGGAAATGGCAAACCACTCCAGTATCTTTGTCAAGAAAACCCCAGATGGAGTCACAAAGAATTGGATACAACTGAAATAACTGAACAACAAAAACCACTTGGGGCAGCTAGATGGCACAGTGGATAGAGTATCGCCCCTACAGTCAGGGAGACATGAATTCAAATCAGATCTCAGACACTTACTAGCTGTATGACCTTGGGCAAGTCACTTAACTGTTCACCTCAGTTTCCTCATCTGTAAATGAGCCAGAGAAGGAAATGGCAAACCACTCCAGTATCTTTGCCAAGAAAACCCCAAATAGGGTCACAGAGAGTTATTATTATTATTTCACAATAGTTTACAGAACAGTATACATAAATGAATGATAATAGTATAGTAACTTGATCCAGGTCCATCTTTATCTGAACTATGTCAAACAATAAAAATGAGATAAACCAAGTGATAGCAATAATAATAATAATAATAATAATACCAATCAACTATACTGAAACTAGAGTACTATCATGGACAAAATTGTTGCCTGGAATTGCCCGAATAAAACATTTATCCTTAAAAATTTTTAAACCACATTTTTACTAGATATCCTCATACTAAATACTCATAATCTCCAATCTGTGTGGAAAAAACATCTTTCAAAATTTAGAGGCCTAAAGAAATCAAAATCATGTGGGAACAAGATAAAGTACCTATCATCCCCAGTATCTTGTCTGCTACTGGAGTTGCACCCAAAGTAATTTTGTGAACCTTAAGGTAATGATTGAGTTTGCATCCTATACTTTTGTACAACTATAAAAATCAGTAGTTTTATCCAATTTTGAAATAATATATACAATATTTCACATAAAAATATTATAATGGAACCCTATCAGGACCATTTTTATCTGAACTTGATCAAGATTAGATGAGAAGGGCTAACAATAATATTTTAAATGGTAGTAATGATGATGGTAAGCTATCATTTCTTAAAGGATAGGGATTCTGTCATTTAAAAATGTGTATATCCTAAACCTCTAAGATGGTGCCTTTCATATAATAAGATACTTAAAACTGTCAAATGAATAACATCTTCATATGAAACTTCTGTAATTTTTTTCTACAACTTAAAAAAATTGTGACTGATCATGGTGACTCATGACTATAATTCCAGCCACTGTGGAGGCTGAGGTTGGCAGTTTGCTTGAACTCAGGAGTTCTGAGCTGCAGTGGGCTATGCCAATTATGTGTCTGCCCTAGGTCTGGCATAAATATAGTGAGGCCCAGGAGCAAGGGCCACCAGATTGCACAATGGGGGGCAAAATGGTCCAAGTTGGGATAGGAGCAGGTGCAAAGTTCCTGTGCTGATCAGCATTGGGCCATGAGTAAACTGCTGCATTACCAATCTGGGCAAGATGGGAAGACCTAGTCTTAAGGAAAAAAAAGTGAAAATCATCAACAAGCATAAACATTTTAAAATTCAGAGAAGAATATGAGGATTGTATAAGAAACTGGACTTCTATTATGTGTAGTTTTGTTTAATTTATAGAATATCCCAAAATATTAGTATAATGTTGACTTTGATATACAGTGTATATCCTGTATGTAGTAGGTAAAGACCCATATAGATGTACGTAAAGTTTAACAAGAATCTAGTGATATCTCCAAAACATATATACCCCAAAGACGGAAAAGAGCAAAGGAAAGGATTTATACATACATACAAAACTATTATAATGGCACTTTTTGTTATAGCAAAGAGCTAGAAACTAAGGGTGCCCATCTGTTAGGGAATAGCTGATGGAATTATGGTATATGAATGTAATGGAATATTATTATAACATAAGCAATTATGAAAGGAACAGTTTCAGAGAAACTTGGGAAGATTTGTATAAATAAATTCTGAGTGAAGTGAGCAGAACCAGTAGACATTATATGATGACTACAGCTTTGTAAAACTTAAGAATTATTATCAATGTAATGATCAGCCATGATTCCAGAGGACTGATAATGAGGCATGTTGGCCCCTTTCTGACAGAGAGGTGGACTCAAGATACAGAATGAAAAATACATTTTCAGATGTTTCCATTATGCATATTGGTTTTGTTTGACCATTCTAATTTGTCACAAAGGAAGACTGGGTTTTTTGGTGATGGTGGTAGGGTGATGGAGCCAGGGATAGTTATATTAAAAAAAAGAGAGAGAAAAGAGTATAATGAAACATTTTTAAAATGCACAGAAGAGAGTGGAAGGAATTTCAGCAGGAGGCAGGGACAAGCAGTACTCTTTCCAGGAAACTGACTTTTTTTTTAAAATTAACTTGGCCATGGAACACATTTGGCTTTGGAATATAGAACCCATAGCTACTAGTCTAGAAAGACTGGAATTATACAATACTTCAGGGATAAAGAGAAGTCATAAGGTGCCTTAGAGATCATCTAGTCCGACCTCCTCATTTTACAGATGAGGAAATTGAGGTTTATAAAAGAAAAGTGACTTGTTCGAGTTTGACCGGTGATTTGAATGCAAGCCTTCTACCTCCTAATCCAGAGTTATTTTCAGTACATAAAATTGTAGGAATGCAAATCAAGCCCATATTCATAATGAAAACATGCTAAATAGTGAATATTTTGTTACAATTTAGTATTTAGTATTTTAGAAGGAAAAATGTCATTAACATTGAGATTTTCACAGAACCCCTATTCATAATACAAAGAACATCAGACCAAGTCCTACAAAAACAGTTGGTAAAATCTGCCTCCCTCCAACAGGATCAGCTGCCCTGTTATTCTTACCATAATCTTAATTATCAACTCACTCATTAAGCAGGCATTTATGAGTGTCCACTGCTGAAGCAACATCCTTATCCTTGTTTCTCCAGCAATTTCTACTTGCAAAATACTTGGAAATTTTCCCACCTAAGTTATACTTTTTGCCAAATGTGCCCTCCCACTTTACTTTCTTTCCAGTTATTTCTTGAAGTTTCCCAGAAGTGGTGGGAACAGGAAACACAACTCTTTTCAGGTGTTTTTGAATTAGAAGTCAGTATTAGCCTTTGGTGATAGAAATACGGGAATGTATAAAAATGTGTCCTCAGGAAGCAGCATGCAGTGAAAAGAAGATGGAACTTGGAGTCAGAGGGCTTGGTTTCAAATCCCAGGTCTGCCCCTTATTACTTGTGTGACCTTTGAAAATTCGCCACAACTCTGTTTCCTCATCTGTAAAATGAAGTGGATGGACTAGATGACTTCGAGAACCAAATCTATGATCCGATGACTTGCCTCCCTCTCTTCAGCTTATGTGGGTCTTTGAAAAGAGCCTGTCTACTCATTTCACTATTTCTTAAACTAATAAACTCTGGAAAATTCATGTATAGATTTCCTGAAAACAACATTGGAACAAGAAATCAGTCCCTTGAAAAGATAATTTGCATAGGGCACTGGAAAGAAAATCTAACCTTGAAACCAACAGTTTGGGGAAAAAATTTTATTTAATTATCCCCTTTATATGTACCAGACAACTTTCCACAGACCCATCTGTTACTGAGCAGAAAAGCCAGTCCAGAATGAAAAGCAGTAGAGACTTGCTTGGTCCTCAGGTCACAAATAAAAACAGCAGCAACAACCATTAATAATAATAATAATAATAAAAATAAAAAGATGACTATTCCAAGTTCTTGATGAAGATTCCTGTTAAAATTTTAAAATGTAAACTGAGGAAAAAATATTTGCCCAGGGATAGGAAAGACATAAACAGAGGCACTCCCAGACCTGCCAGTGAGTTTGGACAGGAAATAATATGTTTGTATTTAGTATTGCATATAAGCAAATCTGTCTAAGGAGATCTCAAAGGCACACTCAAAACAGCTATGCAACTAGTGGTAAACAAAAAACCAAAAAAAGAAAAAAATATATTCCAGAGAAGAACACAGAGTTCTGGAAAGTAATAAATGTGATTTTATGAATAATAAATCATGTCAGATAATTCAAAATGGTATTTTGGAAAAAGCACTAGACTTGGAGGCAGGAACTGACTATACAATTCCAAGTCTTGGCTCCGACGCTTACTAGTTGAAAGTCCTGGGACAAATCACTTTATCTCTTTGGGACTCGGTTTCCTCATCTGTAAAAAGAGCAGATTAGATTTGTGAGTTCTAGCATCTTCTCTGACAGGTCTCCTAGATGCATGGGAAACAATACTATAGCAACTTTTGTTTCCTAGGATTCATCTTACACTCTCTTCTGCTTTGGCTTCCATGACATTGCTTTATTCTAACTCTTTTGCTTCTGTCTAAACACACTTTATGCCCCTTTTTCTGGTTCATCATTAATTTCTTGTTACCCTAAGTTCTATCCTATGCCCTCTTCTCTTCTGCTTCTACATGTCACGATCTCATTATCTCTTATGTGTTCAATCATCATCTCTTACCAGATGCCTCACCACATAATTCTTAACTGATAACTATATGTGAACATGTTTACATACACATATATCTCTATATCTATCTATCTATCTATCTATGTATCTATCTATCTACTCAAATCTCTCTCATAAATTTAAGCTTCACATCACCAAATTCCTGCTGGGCATGATGTGAACACTTGGATATCCTATCAGCATCTCAAATGCAACATGAACCCATCATCTTTTGCCTTAACCTTGCCCCTCCTCCATAGGTCCCTATTTCAGTCTCAGTTACCCAAGTTTATTGCCTTGCAGACATTTTTGAATCTTTTTTCTTCCTCCTCATATCCTCTTCTCCAACATACAATATTTCTAATTCATTGTCACCACAAAAGAGCTGCTATAAATATTTTTGTACATATAAGTCCCTTTCATCTTTCTTTATCTTTGAGATAAAGACCTAGTAGTGATATTGTTGGATCAAGATCCCAGGAGATTTGATCAGATCACTGAAACAGGGTATAGGGAAAGAAGAGAACCCAGGGTAGATCGCTTAGGTATGACCATACATGGCCATGGAAGATAATCTAGCAAAGGAGGTTGAGACAGACTAGACAAATCAATAGAAGGACCAGAAGAGAGCAATTTTATAAAAATCCAGGGAAAAGAGAATATTCAGGTTGAGGGGGTGGTTAGCAGTGACCAGTATTGTCAAAATCATTTTCATAAAGCATAAGGAAGTGGGGGAAGGAAATATTTATATAGTATCTGCTATGTGCCAGGCACTGTGCTAAGAGCTTTATAAATGTAATCTCATTTGATGCTTGCAATAACGTGTGAGGTAGGTGAATTATTATCCCCATTTTACAGTTAAGGAAACTGAAGCATAGATAATTTAAATATCTTGCCCAGGGTCACAAGGCTACTAAGTGTCTGAGGTCACATTAGAACTCAGGTCTTTGTGACTCCATGCCCAATGTTCTATCCATAGGTCTAACCATGTTATTTCCCTGCTCAAAACTCTTCAATCGGTCCCTTTTACCTCTAGGATAAAACAACTTCTCAGCCTGGCATTTAACGTCCTCCACAACCTAGTTCCATCCTTATTCACATAAGGCTTCATGTATTCAACTTCATCTGCTCCCCAAACTTAAAATTTCACCTCCTGCCTCCATTAATTTGGTTTTTATTCTCCATGTCAGGATTGAAATCCCTCCTTTAGTCCTCCTAATAGAAGCTTAATCTTCCTTCAAAGCTTAGTTTAGATGCTACCTCTTCTGGCAAGCAAAATATTCCATACCTGTCTCTCCTTACTAGGTAAAGAATTTTATTCAGGATTTTTGCTAACTGCAAACTGTAGAGAATCTTAGAATGCTTTGCATTAGATATTAGGAGTTGGTAAGATCCATGGAGATAAATTACTATTGCTGTGGACTCTTCTTTGATTACCTTTGAGTTGACTTGATGAAGCGAATGTTTAGGGATGGTTTAGATTCAATTATTGTTTATCCAACAAATTCAACTAATATTAATAAATGCCTACTATTTATAAGACAGTGTTCTGGACAACGTGGTTTTGTAGATACCAATAGAATCACTGCTATCAAAGCTTACAGTCTACAAGGGAGGATATAATATGCCCATCACTAAGGATAGAGAGAATATGATGTTACTAAATACCTTCAGCATGCTTGGCATATTGTCATTGGAGATAAATGTGTGGACTAGGTGACCACTTATAATTATCTTCAGCCCTCAGATCCTCTGATTCAGCAACTAAAAAAAACTGTGATAAAGGCCTCACTATCCTGCCAATGTATGATGAGATAGGGTGATGCTGCTTCCTGTGACATAGTATTTCCATGCCTCCACAATGGTGCTGACCCCAAATGACACAACTTCAAACTTTTGAACCTCAGTATAAAATGCAGACATTGCTATTTTTTTCTAAATCCTAAATCAGGAGAATAAAAAAAAATGATTGTACAGGAGAGAAGAATCTTTGGAATAGAGCCAAGAAAGAAGAGCACAAATGAAAACTCACTAGCAGTAGCCCAAATAGAATAGAAATCAAGGGCTCAATTCATTGTCCTTTGAAATTTCATTAAAGTCTAAAAATGCAGGCTGATTTTTGCAATTATATCCCTCTAAAATTCTTTAGCTAGCCAAATTATATTCTTACTGTAGTCTAGCCATATTATTTCATTTTTCGAAAGTCTTCAATAGCTAACCTAGAAATATTACCAGTCCCTGAACTTATCCTATTGCCTAAATTTGTACTACCCATCCCCCTTTGGCTAGCACACACTCTGTCCAATTCATTCAGTTTTTTCTTCATTTAACCATTCATTCATTTATTCATTCAATAAATCTTCATTAAGCATTTGCTGTGTGTGGATCCTGGTGCCAAGTACTAAAGAGGGACAAAACTCAAGTAAGACACAGTCCAGGACCCCATAGAGCCTATGATCTAGTAGAAAGAAAATTCATAAAACATAGATTACTACAATGTATATTATTATGTGGGTATTCAAATTATTTTTTTAAAAGTACTGTATGAGATCTGATTGGGAAGGTTCTTACCAAACAAGGTCTCAGGGAAAGTTCATGAAGGAGGTAGAATTTGAGTTAAAGTGTAGGTAGGATTTCAATGTGCAAAAAGTTTAGAGTTTAACATTTCATAAATAATAACCTATTTGGTACAAGGATTGGGAGTAAATGCTTGGAGGAGGAAGGACACAGGGCATGTTCAGGGTGAGGCAGGACTGTGGACTAGAGGAGAGAAACTCAATTTACCAATAGCATAAAGTACATGAAGGGGAGCAGTATGATAGAAGACTAATAAGTTAGAGTGGCATCAGATTTTTGAGGTCCTTGGAAGCTAGGAAGAGGAAGTTCAGCCACGGTAACCAATAGGGATCCAGTGAATGTTTTTAACAGGTGAATGGTATGAGTAGTTTTGTGCTAAATGAAAGGAAAGGGCAGAAAGTAGAGGTTGGATGATTTATTAGGCAATAAATCTAAGAACATAATAATGGGGGCCATTGACAGGGTGATAAGAGTGGGAAAACAGAAGAGAGGATGGATGTAAGAAATGTTACGGAAAGGATCTGGTAACTGATTGGATATAAGGACATATATAATATAAGTGATGTAAGGAGACAGAAAAGTACAAGATAACTCCAAGGTTTAAAAACAGGGTAAATGATGGTGTCATGGACAGAAACAGTGAAGTAAAGAAGACCACATTTAACTGAAAAGGCTATAAGCTTGGGTTTTAGACATGGAGTAGTGGGTAGAATTCTAGACTTGACGTCAGGAAGATTTAAGCTCAAATCCTACCTTGGATACTTACTAGCTGTGTCCCTGAAGATGTCATTTAATCTCTCTGTGCCTCAGTTTCTTCATCTGTAAAATAAGGAAGAATCACCTCTAAGGCTTTTCCAGCTCTAAAATCTATGATTCTGATTATAAGGTTAATAGGACATTTGGGTGTGATCTGGCATTCACAAGAAGGGTCAGAGCTTTACATATATACATTGGGGATTCATCTGTGCAGAGGAAATAGTGTTTGAAGTTGTAGGAGTGAATGATATTGCCAAGGAAGAAAGAGTAGAGAGAGAAAAAAAATACCAAGGATGGATCTTTGAAAAATATCAACATTTAGAAGATCGGGGGGAAAAAAGCCAGGAGACAGATGAAGTGGTTAGAGAAGCTGGTCATTAACAAAAATATACATCTAAAGCCAAGAAAGAAAGAGTACCTGGTAGGAGAGGTGCAGTCAATAACCTCAAAAGTCATAAAGAGATCTGATAAAAATGGTGAGGGGAACTGATTTGGTGATAACATGGTTTATGGTGACCCTAGAGTAGTTTCAACAGAATGGTTGATGTGAAACCCAAATTGCAAGGGGTTGAGAAGAGAATTGGTAATGAGGAAATGGAGACTTTAGTTGTGGACAGTGTTTTGAAGTAATTAAGTCATAATGTCAGGAGCTAAAGAAACTCTGAGGTCAAGTACAAATGAAGACACAACTATAAACCAGAGTGTATGTGATGAAGCCAGAGGTGACAATTCCTTAGCCTGTTTAAGTGAATTAGGATCTAGTCTCAGGGCTAGTATTGGTTGAACAGAGGTATAGTGACCTGACTGGGAGGAGAGACTAAGGGACAATAGAAAAGAACAAGACAAAAGAACAAACAACTAATATAGTTAGGAAATGAGCTAGGGTGGGAAATTTTACTGATTAAACGGCAGTAAGTTTGGAGATTGTAGTTGGGGAGTGAGCTCTTGAAGGAGCTCTCAGTGTGAGAATGATTTGTTGACTTTATAGGAGAGAATAAGAGAGTGAATCAGCATGGGATAGGATAAGAATGGAGCTAGAACTATGGCTGTTCATTAAGGCCAACATAGGAAAAAATATGTAGAGTAAGTGGATACTAATGCCCCCTCTTGCCCAGAGATATACTACTGGGAGAGATATGTGCTGGAAAACTGTAAAGATAAGATTCTGTTTTGTGTAACATGCATGAATTATGGGAGCAAGATGTAGACAGAAAGGTTAGCGATAATAAGGAGTAGTAAGTGAGACCTCTCATTCAATGACAATAAGGAAGAAGGTAAATTGGAAGATGATGCTGAGACTTGAGGAATCGAGGAAGGAAACTCAAGGAGCCCACGTCAGGTATCTTAGAACTGCCAAAAGTGGCATGGCTGCCTCAGGAAGTGGTGGGTCCACCCCACTAGCAGATTTCAAGTGAAGGCTGTATAACTATTTGTTGACCTTGTTGCAGAGGGAGTTCTTTGTCATGTTCAGGTGGAACTGGATAGTTCCTGAGACCCTTTATAACTCTTGAGATTCTATGATCTCCTCAGTAAAGTTAGGAACCTGAGTCACCTGCTGGAAATGGGGAAAAGGGAGGGAAGGGTAATTCAGTATGAGAAGAAGAGATTTGTAATAGCTGATTTGGGGAATGAGATAGGAATTAGATAAAGGTAGGGTAGAAGGATTGTCCTAAAAAAAGGGCCCAAATGAAGTCATATACTACTGATTTGTAGTATCAGTAAAAATCAATTTGTTTTCTTGACTTAGTGACACTTAACTGTCCTACTGCAGGTATGGGGAAATGGTGGTGGTTACACAGGGCTTTACAAGTTGTGACTGGCATAAGATTGAGTAAGAGGAAGAATATGAAAGATCTTAGAGTAATGGCTACTGAAAAGTTAAAGTGGCAGTCTGGGTATGAAGGCAAGTGAAACCAAAATGGAGGAGGTGGTCTCAAACAATTGGAATGGGTTTAGATCCTGAAGATCCCTTGAGACATAAGGTCAAAGAGTAGACTTAGTGTTAAATTGACGATATGGAAGAGGTAAAAAGGATAGGAGATTATGTTTAGGAGAATGTCAAAACTATAGATCTTGGAGGTTGTACTACTCCCAAAAATGCAACCAGAAGCTATGTCTGCTAAATCTTTCCTCACCCAGAGGCTTATAACAGTTTTTGTCTCATTTCACACCAGGGAAAAGAAGGAGTTTTGCTCTGTCTGTGCCTCTTGCAGGTACATTCATTCTGGCTTTGGAACCAAGTAAGAGGCTTTTCATCACTCCAATTTAAGGCAACTGGAAACAGTCAAAGGACATCTGAAATGCTTTTGAACTAGGGAAAGTCTTCTCCATCATATCTATTGCATGTTTCTGGAAGTAGGCTCATCGAGTCTCCATGCAAATTGATACCAGGCAGAACACACACAAGGTACTCTAAGGGCTGGGTTCCAATTGGACCGTTCCCCTATATACATAGATGGCAGAGAGTTTGATGAAAATAGAGTAGTGATTTGGAAGGGCTCAAAGGAATTACTTAAGAGTTATTAAAATTGGTTGGAGTAAATCTGGAAAGGCATAAGGATTAAAATTAAATAATTAATTAAAGTTAAAATAATTAATTAAAATCAAAATAGGGTGAAAAGTTAGGAGAATGTGGTATGAAAATGCCACTTGAACCTAGACCAAAATTCACCTCTTCCTTCAAGGCCTAGCTCCTGTGCCACCCTCTTCATGAAACATTTTCTGATACCCCAATGCCCTAGGGAAAATGATTCCTCCATCCTCAATATTGTCATTTTGCTTGGACTTTTCCTTTGTACTTGCCTTACTTCAAACTCCTTTGCATCAGGTATTTGTATATGTCTCTTTTACCTCATTTATGTCCTTGAGAACAATGCCCATGTGTTTATTTTTGTATTCCCAGTGTCTAGCAGAGTACTCTCTTTCTCCTTCTCTCTCTCTCTCTCTCTCTCTCTCTCTCTCTCTCTCTCTATATATATATATATATATATATATATATATACACATATATGTACTTAATAGTTATCTGTTGAATTGAATTGTATTGTGTGGGACCATTAGGTGGCAGTCACAATAGCTGCTGCTTTGGTTCCTAACTTGGCAGCCAACTCTTACTGCTATCGCTAGCATTACTTTAAGACTATAATTTCTACTGCAAACTTGAAGGGAACTGAAAGCCAAGATACCTGGTAGAGTTGAGGATGCAGCAGGCTGGGCATGCCAGAAGGAAGGGATCCTCGGGATATCCTATATATTCCCCCTTTTCTTGCTAACCTCTGCAGCATTACAATTTTGATATATGTACTGTGAATTTGAGCACTACTCCCTTTATTCTCAAAGAATTTGGGCTTCTGCTTGATCACAGTTAACTCCTCTGCTCATGGATGGAAGAAACCAACCTGAGACAGAGACTGCATTTTTTTTTTAAAGAAACAGGAATTAAAAAAAACAAAGACTAACAGAGAGTAAGGGGATGATTTGATAGACTCAGAGACTGTTAGAACCAAAGGAATGCTGGAGTCAGCTATAAGCAGATGTGAAATTTTCAGTTTGAGCATTTCAGAAATCAGCAATTGCCATAAAACAGGGCTTGGTTTATTGTTTTGTTGATTGTCTAGATTTAATAAAATGTTAATAATGAAGGTGAAATTTAAAAGACTGTGCCCTATAGTTTGTTCAATATTTACCAGCATACCCCTGTATTGCTGTATAAACATTGCTTGAGCTCAGCAAGAGTGCAATAGAAGTCTCAAGGAATGAAGTCATACCATCCTGGAAGCCTGGTGACTGTAGCCTATTAATAATAATAATAATGATGATGATGATGATGATGATGATGATGAGTGGCATTTCTATAATACGTTAAGGTTTGCAAAATGCTTTACATAAATTATCTCATTTGAGTCTCACAACTTTACTGATTAAGAGCTAAAGGGAACCTGAGATGATGAAATCCAACCTCTTCATTTTACAGATGAGGCAACTCAGGCCTAGAGACTAGTCCAAGGTCACACAGTGACTAAGAGAGGATTTAAATACAGACTTCTTGACTCAGCCCAGTGTTTTTCCCATTACACCATGTTTCCTTCCTGGTAAATATGGGAAAATAAAATTTGAGACTAACCAAATATTATTGAACTGTTCCCTCTAAAAGTTTTTGTGATGGAAGTTTGAGTATAGTGGGAATTAATTCCTCTCCCTGCACCACGCACCAGTGCTGAGATGCTGCATATAAACCATTGCATACCCTGACTGAAAAGAAATCCTAAGAAGAAAAGGGCCACGGATATAGGACATCACTGGACATGCATTTTGTAGTGCACAGTGACCTGGTACAATTTTTCCTGATACAACAAGCTACTTTAGGTTATCAATATCAGAGGTGTCCTTTCCAGTCAGGGCCCATATAGAAAAAGAAAAAACAAATTTCTCTCCCTTCCACATGACAACTAACACTATTATTTCCTTGATAACAGCCCTGTTTGGTAGTTAATAGAAGTATTCCCTCTATAAAGGGAAGTATCCCATCTGCAAAGATGAAGAAACAGAAGTTCAGTGAGGTTTGGTAATCTGCCTAATTTCCTACAGCTTCTGTTTGTCAGAGCTTGTGTCCTGACCCCAGATCCACCTGAGTTCAAGTCCAGAACTCTAACCATAGTGACATCCTGCCTGTCTCCATTCACATGTGAAGTTATTATTGTTTTTTCCTCCATTTATTTCTTTAGAATTGTTTTTATTCTATCTCCTTTTAAGTTAATTCTTTGTCCCCTTTGATTAGTTTTGTTTAAACTACTTTGCTGCTAGTCTATTCCCACAGGTTCTCTCCCCTTCACCTGCTCCCATTTGCCAATCTTTTCACAAGTTCTCTAATTCTAAATTATTATTTTTTATTTTATTCATTTAATCATCTATATTTTTCCTCATTTGCTCTTCCTTTCCCCCTTCACTTTTTGAAGCAATTAGTTCAAAATATCTCATCCCTTCCAACATCTTATTTTTAGTAATTTTATCTTACTATGACCTTTTCTAAGAACTTTCTTTGTCTTGACCTTCTCATTGTATGTCCTGTGTTGTGATTTAAAATTTCTGAACTATAGTTTTACTTATTTTTTATTTATTAATTGTGTCCCTCATGGTATTAAAGATGGTGAAGTATCACATTTGAACTTCTTTTTTATCCTATTTTTATGTTATTGCAATTAATCAATCAATAAACTTTTATTAAGTGCCTACTATGTTCCAGACACTGTGCTAAACACTTGTATATATTGCTTCATTCTACTCTTCCTTCCTACCCCTCCCACTCCTCCCTCTTTTTTTTTTTTGCCATGTCTTATCAATTCATGAGAAAAGCATGATCAAATGGAAGTAGTACCCTATTATAGAAATTATCTTGTGACTCAAATCATGCTGCCTGGCCCCATGTCTTGCCCTCACCATAATTGGTCTTCTTCTCAAAGACCATAACATATCTCTGGTTCTATGCCATGCCATGCTTTGAGTACAGATTGCCCCAGAAAGTCCCATGTGTTTTCTCCCGGGGCGGGTGTTGCTTATGAACGCATGGCATTCTGAGATCCTGCCAGTCTCAGTGGGAGTTGGGAGTTTAATTTTTATTCCCGGATGTCCCTTATTTCTTTTGCAACTGTGTGGTATTCTCCTTAGGGAGAAAGTAATGATATCTGGTGGCTTTTTAAATCATTGCAGACATTGATAAGTTCCATTTTCATGGCTTTCCTACTCGTCTGTATTTTTGTCTGAAGCTTAAATGGCTCACTACTTAAAAATGTGTTCCTATTTCTCCTCCTCCACTCACACCCTATTGTGCCTATTTTCAGCTGTGTACACAGAGTTGACAGCTGGGTGATGGGGAATTGGAGTGGTTGGCTACAGACAGGAAAGAGAAGGAATTAGGAGGTTGAAGAGCAGAGATGTCTGTGGACTACCAAATGGTTGCCAATTAGAAAGTGGGGATATCTGACTACCTAAGCTTCCATCAAATGAAATATGCAAAAGCAGGGGAGGAGAAAGGAAAGGAAAAGCATGGGCAAAAGAGGAGGAAATTTTGAGGGAAAGGCAGATGTATCCCCCTGCTAGGGGCAGTGCACATTTAATGAGAGAGGGAGAAGATAACTTGCAACTGAATAGTTCCCATTAGTCCTAAAGATTAAAGCCCAGGGCCCTAGTAACTCCATCAGATTCTCAAGTTGAAATGAGGAAGACAGGGTTCCTGTAAGTTTGTTAATTCACCATGCTATATGATAGACCCCAGTTTCAATTAGCATCGTACTACCCTCCTTACCTAGAAAGTAAGATGTAGCCAGAAAATTCAGCACTTGGGGGGAAAACACATGGAATAGAAGGCATGGTGCCTAGGATTCTTTTTAAATGATGCTACACTGTTAGTTCATTCAGCCTTGGTCTCTATACTTTTGCTCTCTGCTTCTAATTCAGCATCATTTTTCTAGGAGTGGGCTATTATATCCTCATGATTATGTCAGAACATCCTTAGGAAAACAGCAGGTAAAATTTTAGGCCTTTGAATACTCAAGAAACTATCTAGAAAAACCTGAAGGAACCCCCCCACAACAGCCACATTAGTAGTAGCCATGAAAATTTTGACTACTCTGATATCTAAAAGCAGCATAGGTTCCTGGGCAATATTAGCACTATTGAGGTACAGAGATAATAGGAATGGTCAATGACTCAACTGAGAGAAAAAGCAGCTGAAATGGATATATCTATCCATTTCAGTACCAATTCCCCCAAAGTGTTATCCTTCAAGATCTTGGTGATGCGTGGGAATGACCCTACTTGATAGTTGTTTATGCATTATAATCCCCCAGACACTTTTCTGTTAAAATTTTCTGTTAGGGGTGAAGTTCTTTTTTTTTTTCATGAGGGATTTTCCATTTTTTGAAAGATAATTTTAACATTTATCTTTGCCTTTACACCTCTACGTGGATAAATGTAGCTACTAACTTTTTCTTTTACCCAGGGATTGCTGACCTTCTGCAACAAATTCTAGAGGCAGATCCTGCATGAGGAGCAAACAAAAGAGCCAGCCAGACTGGAGAGTTTCCAATGACTGTCTTGTTCTTCTCCTGCTTCAAATGTTGAACTTGGTGGATTGCCTGGGAAGCTGATCCTGATGTGCTCTGTTGTTAATTGGCTGAAGTGATCTCAGAGCCATGGGAATTCAGCCGCTGGATCTAGGTCAGGGCTTCTTAAGCTTTTTGTGTCATGGACCCTTTGGGCAATCTTGTGAGTCTAGGGTCCCCTTCTCAGAATAACATTTTTAAATGTATAAAGTAAAATACATAAGATTATTACAAAGAAAACCAATTGTTTCAAAATACTTATTTTAAAAAATCAAGTTCACGGACCCCAGGTTAAGAATCTCTACTTAGGGAATCTTCAGTTTCTAAAATAAAATATCTAACTAATGAATGGGGTAAGGAGTAACCTTCCTTTTCACAGGCTAGTCAGCTACATTGCCTTCACCTCATAGCCAAAGAATGAATAAGAGAAACTTTCCTAGGGAAAGCTTCCAATCTGTGCCCTACAAATCATGGGAGCTCACCCTCCACTGCACTGTGACCAGTGAAATGGGCCAGTTCAAGGCCTGTAAGATCTCAGCACTGCTAGGTACACCCATGTACGTAGCACATGTAGAAAACAGATGACTAAAAATTTCCCAAGGCTGCTGGTTGTGTTTAAAGGGAGAGATTGGCAAAATGAGAGGCTCAGCCATAATGGACAGCAGTAGTTTTATTCATAAACTATTGAATTGTTTACAGTTTTGCTCACAAATAGAAGACTCCAAGGTGGCTTTATTCATAAAGGCAGATTAAGGCAGATTAAGGCCCTTTATCAGGACAGCAGCAACCATTGTAGGATATTCCAATGGGAATTGGTTATTGGAACACCTGGGAAGTGGACTGCTAGTGGAAGATTGCTCTCAATCCCTCTCTCTCTAACTTTCTTTCTCTCTCTGTCTTTCTCTCCCTCCCTCTCTCTCTCTCCCTCTCTCTCTCTCTCTCTCTCTCTCTCTCTCTCTCTCTCTCTCTGTGTGTCTGTTTCTCTGTCTCTGTTTCTCTGTCTCTCTCTCTCTTTCTAAGTTCACTAGCTGCTGGGAGGGATAAATGGTACCTGAATGAAATGTTCATGTTGATCAAATTAGGGCTTCTCAAGGAACTGATCCAAAAGGAGGAGAGAGTACAAAGGGAATTTGGTTTTAAGTCTTTTTTTGCTTTTGTGGTGAAACTGAGTGTATTATTTTCAGCATAGCAGGAAAAGAGGCCATGGGCTAACCTCAAAATTGTACCAAATGCCAATTGTACCAATATATTAAATTTTACAGGGTACCATGTGAAAATGAGAATAGTTGGAGAGTTTTGGAGATCTTGGGGTGGGGGGCACACAGGAAGAGGAGCATAACTCTGGAGTATTAGAATACATAATTCACCGGCAGTACATCAGGCAAGGGGGTTGGGAAGGGAATGTAGAGCAAGGAGCTCATTCTGTCCACTCCTTTTTAATGGACAGATTCCACTCCCAGGTGAGGTGGTTATGCTTGTCATCATCAGTGAAGAAGGACTTGTTGTGGTAAGTGCCTCGGGCCAGCATACCCTTGGGGGCTTCCTCTGGAGGTGTCAGGAACTCATACTCATCTAGCCTAGGCCCATAGCTGCCAACCATGAAGGTAGCTTTGTCCACTAAAAGAAAGAAAAATTCATTAGGAAGATCATCATTTAGAATGACATTAAAGATTACACCAGAGAATGCACCAAATTCTAGACTATTGGTGACCAAGGTTAGGTAGCCTGATAAAGAAGAATTCTGGACTGGGTAATAGAATGAATATCTAGGGACTACTTGGCTACCAATAACAAACTGTATGCCCTTAGGCAAGTAATTTTAACTCCTTGGAGTCTATTTCCAACATTGTAAAATGAGTAGGTTGGCCTAAATGATCTCTAAGGGTTTTCTACCTCTAAAATTTGATAATTCTGCATGAACATAAAGTTGACCATTTATAGAGGTAGGGTATTAAGTTAAATAATCAGAAAGAACACAAGGAATTGATTGTTGTTGTTTGTCCTTCTTTCTCAAAGAGGACGAATGACATCATGAAGGCGAAGTCTTAACTTGCTCATGAATTGGATTTAAGTGAGGCACAGCTTCACTAAATCATCAGCCTCTCTCTCTCGTCCAGTCATCAGAGTTCAGTGGCAAGACAATGGCCCTGGATACAAGGAATCATAGTTGAAGCCAATCAATGAGATAAAAGAAGAGAAGCCATGGATCAGGAAGTAAGATTAGCTACTGTAAGTAGGTGGGTCAGGCCACTGAGAAAAGTAGAACTAAATGGATGGCTATTTACAATGATAGTCAAGTAGAAAATAGTAAACAGATTTCTCCAGGTGCTACTAAATGGTCTGAAGGAGTAATACTATAGCCATAATTCTTTTTTCCTCTTGCATGTCTGACACCATGCTATATCTCTATACACAGCCAAAAGAAGGGACGAGGTTTATTTGTTTGCTCGTTAAAATTATTTTTCTATCATCTATCCATCCATTCATTTTTTCATTTATTTATTTATTTATTTATTTATTTTTGGGAGAGACTGGGCACTGAAGGTAGTCAAACCAGATTATTCGGGACAAAACACATCTCCTTTGGGACTTGAATAATCATTGATTTCCTTTGTTTTCCAAATTCACCAGAGAATCTCTCGATATTCCTAAGTGTTCTAGCTTTGGTGTAGACCTGACTTGTGTAATAATAATATTGCCCCCTTCTCTGTGGAAAGGGCTTTTTATTCAAATGCTTTCACATGCATTCACTCATTTTGTCTTCTCTTCACAGAGGTAACATGGGATAGCAGACTATATATGGAGTTGGGGATACCTGGATTCATGTCTCACTTCTTACACTTACATTCTCTTTCCTTCATAATAATTTTAGATCATAGTTGAAGCATCTGAGGCCCAGAGAAGTTTAATGATTAACCTAAGTATTAATAATTAAGAAGAGACTAACCTAGTGTTCTTTTCTCTCGATAATGTTTACATATTGATAAGAGTTTGGAAAATGGGGGGGGGGTCTCTTACCTTTAGCCCCAGTCCTGTAGGTATGCTGCACATATTTCAGCCCTGACACAATATCCTTGTTCACCTACAAGAAAGAAGTGACTCCAAGTAAGTCAAACAGATAGATTTCATTCTCTTCCCACTCAGTTTTGTGCAGCTGAAGTTTTTCTCTTCAATGTCTTAGGATGAAAGGGATTGAGCTTTAGACTAAGGTGAATTGAAATAGTGGGAAGATGGAGACTGAGGGACAGAGGATACAAAACCTAACTGCTACCTCCACCCCTTTGAGCTTGTTGGGCACTATCTTACACCAAAATATTCACATATGCTCAGCTAGGCATCCCTCATGGAACTGGACTCATGTGCTTTGGTTCTGTGGGGAGAGACATATGCTCTGGTTCCTTGCTAAAGGACATGTATGAACAATGGCTCATATGGGGTTGGCTTCCAGTCTTTTTTAAGTCAGTCTTTTGTTTGTAGCTTTCTTTTGAACTTAAAGGGGTGGCAGTGGCTTTGTTTGTTCTCACGTCCCTTCTCCCAGTACCTATCCCCTGCCCCAGCAATGGTGACCATATCCATATGGAAGTAAGAATATGTGCTTGCCTAGGCAATTGTGAGGCACAAGTCCCTAGATGACTCTTCTGTTTTGTGTTTCTTCCCTTAAGCCTAGATCACTGAACAGTGATTCTGAGAGATCGATATTTCCAACAGACATCTGAGAAAAAATACTTACAGCAAATTTCCCTTATAAACATCTCATATCCAATATGTATGAGGAACTGATTCAAATTTATAAAACTAAAAGCCATTTTCCAACAGATAAATAATCCAAAGATTATAAAAGGCAGTTTTCCAAGGATGAAATCCAAGCTATCAACAACCATTAAAAAAGAGTCTGAATCATTAATAACTAAAGAAATGGAATTAAAGTACTACCTGATACCCATCACACTGACAAAAATGACAAAAGAGAAAAATGATCAGTGTTGGAGAGATTGAGGGAAAATAGGCATACTAATACACTGATGGTGGAGCTGTGAAATGGTTTAACCATTCTGGAAAACAACTTGTAACTGTGTCCAAAAACTTCCTAAACTGTGCATACCCTTTGACTTATCTATACCACTGCTGGGCTGTACAGCAGGAGCAAGAGTGTGGGAGCATAACCTCAAGTATCATGGTTAACATAAACAGCAAAAAGTAGTTCTATCCCATGGGAAAACGTGCATGTGACCCTGGGCCATCCCTGGCACTATGCCTTCTTTGTTCTTTTTCTATATAATATCTGGCCTGGCCTAAGAGTGGGGAGGAGATCTACCATTGTCCTGCTGCAGCATAGGGGGGTCTTGTGAGTAAGGTCCCCCAGTAAAACCTATTTACTTCCATGCTTCTTCTGTTATCTCAGTATTCTATTAGAGGTGGGACCATCTCTCTGAATGGTCTGCACCCTTACATAGGTGTAGAGATCAAACAGATCAAATAAAGAGGAAAAGTGCCCATATGTACAAGAACATTTATAGCAGCTTTTTACCATAGGAGCCCCAAACTGAAAACAAGTGGGTACTCACCTATTGGGGAATGGCTCAACAAATTATGGTATATGATGATAATGAAATATTATTGTAAAATAAGAAATCATAAAATGGAAAATTTCAGAGGAAACTGGAAAGACCTTTATGAGCTGATGGGGTGCAAAGTGAGAAGAACTAAGAAAACAATTCTTACAACATTATAAGAAAAACAACTTTGAAAAACTTTAGAATTCTGATCAATACAATGATAAACCACAATTGTGGAGGACTGAATGTGAAAAATGACACCCATCTCCTGCCAGAAAGGTGATGAATTTAAAATACAGAATGAAACATACATTTTTGAACATAGCCAATGTGGGAATTTGTTTTGCTGAGTTATTATGGTTTGGTCTTTGAGTTTTCTTGGCAAAGATACTGGAGTGGTTTGCCATTTCCTTCTCCAGCTCCTTTTCCAGATGGGGAAACTGAGGGAAACAGGACTAAGTAACTTGCCCAGGTTCACACAACTAGTAAGTGTCTGAGGACGGCTTTGAACTTAGGCAAATAAGTTTTCCTGAATTCAGATCCAGAACTCTGTCCATGCCATCTAGTAGCCCCTTGCTGAGTTATACATGTTTGTAATGAAGTTTTTCTTTTTCTTTTTTTATTGCTCAATTGGAAGGTAGTGGGAAAGAAAGATATTAAATGCCTTTTCAAATAAATATTTTTTAAAAGAAGTACACATTTCTAGCTTCAATATTTACTTTGTGAGTTTGAGAGGTCGGTGGGAGGTATACCTTTCTTGGAGGGTTAGATGGCCATGGCTGGGTGAAAAGACTAAGGAAGCTCAACTCAGAACCTGGTTTGGTAGAAGATTTGGATATATGAGCTTCTCCACAGCAACACAGATCTGAGATGAATGTGAATTATCTGTTGAGCTGTCCTACAAAATTGTGCATAATAATTGTGTAGGTTACTATTTCACATTTTAAATATCTAATGATCTGAGTCTTTATGTTTTAAGCATCTCTTTTTTGGTGGAAGAATTTATTAGCTATACTATACCTGATATCTACTATGCATATTCAATAATACCATTTGCTAGAAAGGACCCCAAAAATCCCTTTCAGGGGAATACTCTAGACATGGGCAGTAGACGATACAGTGGATAGAGTGCTGGGCCTAGACTCAGGAAGACTCATCTTCATGAGCTCAAATCCAGCCTCTGGCACTTACTAGCTATGTGACACTGGGTGAGTCACTTTACCCTGTTTCCCTCAGTTTCTTCAACTGTAAAAGGAGCCAGAGAAGGAAATGGCAAACCACTCTAGTACCTTTACCAGCAAAAACCCCCAAATGGGGTACAACTCTGTTGTAGAGACATTTTCTAGGTTTCTAGCATGGGAGCAATGTGTTAAAGAGTGCAGGAAAAGCCTATATTGGTGGGATTTAAGCATCCCCCAGGACATTTGGGCCCAGAACTGGGGTCTCTTTGTGGGATGGACCCCTCTAGGCTAAAGTTGACATGAAGAACTAGAAACAAAATTTCTATACTCTCTCATTTAATGACCTTTCATGGTGAGCTCCCAAACATTTAATTATCATACCTATGCAGGCCTAGCTTCTTTCCTTCAAATTGGATGTCTGATAGTCATTTCAAACTCATCATGTCCAAAACAACATATAATATTTTCCCCAAACCAGCCACAATTATGAACTTCCATATTTTTGTCTAGGGCACTTTCTTCCTTTTATTGAAGATGTAGGATATTATGGGTATATTGAATATTTCATGTACTGTCAGAAACAGGTGACATATTGTTTAGTTTTACTGAACTGCTTTTTCCCCCCTCTTTCTCTTAAAATCTTTATTACAAAGGATGACATGCTGAGTAGGGAAAGGAGCAAGAATTTATTTGGAAATTAATGTGACATAAGAACAAAAGACATCAATAAAAAGATATCTTTTAAAAATTATTGGACCCTGAAGAAACATGGAATGTTTTCTTCCTGAGTTTTAAATATATGTGTTATAGTCCTGGTTTTCCTCTGGAGCTAGTCTTTGTGACCAGCCTGTCTTATGTCAAATAGATTATGTCCACTGTCTCTCTGATTTTAAGGTGTTTTGCTTTGTTTTGTTTTTTTTAGATATTAGGCTAAACCTGTGATTTCATGAGTATAGGGAGCTCCTGGGGAGGAACTCCTTCTCTCCATTCATATCAACATCTACTCTACAACTTTGCTTTTAATCTGCTAGGTAAAAAGAGGGCTGGAAAGGTTGAGTTCAAATCCTGCCTAAGCTACTCACCAGTTGTGTGACCATGGGTAAGCCACTTAACCAGGAGGTCAGCCTAAGTTTCCTCATCCGTAAAATGAAGGACTTGGATTCCATGGTCTCCCATATCCCTCCAAGGTCCAGATCTACGATTCTATCATTATCATCTTAGGCAAATGTTTGGGGGACATTGACTTGTTCAATGAGCTGCCCAGGATCACACAGCCAGTATGTATCAGAGGCAGGACCTAAACCCAGATCTGTCTGACTTCATGTTTATCTCTCCATCTGTTGTCCAGATTTTTATATGGGATGGTGAACTTTTTTGTTGGGGGGAGGGGGGGCAATGGGGGCTAAGTGACTTGCCCAGAGTCACATAGTAAGAGTCTGAAGGTGGATTTGAACTCAGGTCCTCCTCACTCCAGGGCCTGTGCCACTGAGCCACCTAGCTGTGCTGTGAACTTTTAAAAATATTTTGATAACTATATTTCAATATAATTGGTTTTCTTTGTAGTCCTATGTATTTTGTTCTATGCATTTCAACACATTATTCTCTAAAGAGGTTTATAGTCTTCACTGGATTGCCAAAGGGGTCCATAACACAAAAAAGGTTAAGAATCTCTCTCTTACTCAATGCTTTAACACTGGTCATTTAGAAAGTCTCCCTTACACAAGTTAGGTATATAATTAGAAAGAGCGTAGACCTAAAAGGGGAGGGAGGATGAGAAAGGTAGTGCACACTTAGTGTGAGTACTGAGTCTGGAACAAAGGTTAGCATGGGGAATGTTTGCTTTCCTTGTAAATAAAGCACTGGTGATATTCTTATGGATTTAGGCTCTACTTTCCTCTCTTTTCCATTTCCCCCCTAAATTTGGCACTTTCATTCAGCTTTTCAATAAAAACCTGCCACTAAATTATGAAAACTTTTTCATTACCTGGCTCCTTTCTAAATTTCCAGTCTTCTTGCACTTTACTCATTTCTATGATCCAGTGACCCTGGCCTTGGTGCTCCCCGCCCTCCATCTCTCATCTCTGGGCCTTTGGCTGTTTCCTGTGCCTGGTTATGTTCTCCCTCTTCGCCTCAGTTTCTTAGTGTCCTTCACTGGTGTCCTTCAAAATTAAATCTCACTTTCTGCCAGCGGCTTTTTCCCAGTCCTTTCAGTTACTAAAAACTTCACCTTCCATCTTCTCTGTAAATCTTATATGTACCTACACATTCCCATGTTGTCTTCCCCACTAGAATAGGAGTTCTTTAAAATGAGGGACCATAGTTTTACCTTTCTTTGTTTTCCAAGCAGTTAGCATGCTGCCTGACATAATCAGCGCTTAATAAATGCTTTCTGGTTGATTAAATTCAAATTTTATTAAGCATCTATTGGTAAAATTATTTTAGAAAACAATATTGCAAAACAAAAAAGCTATAAAGCTACTAGGGTTATACCCAAAAGGAGGTTATTGGAGTGAATAAAGCTCTATTTGTACAAAAGTATCCATAGCAATATCTGAGTCATTTTTTAAATCACTGTTATTATTGATCTGTACCCAGGGCCAGATCTTAGTAAAGTGGACCTAAGTGCTTTTTTGATTTTAGTTTTCTTCCCTTCCTCCCATTCCCCAAAAATGTCTTCTTTTAAAAATTCATTCAAAATTACTTATTAAGTGCCTACTATGAGTACTGGGTCAGTTTATTAGCCTTATGAGTACTGGGTTCACTTACCAGGCTAGTGCCCTGAAATTTCTCAGAGATTTATTTTGTAGGTTAAGATCATTGTCTCTTTTAAAAAATGCAAATACTCTTCGTAGGAATGATGAATTTGCTCCATTCATCACCCATTCTGTACTTCATCAGATCAACTAGCTAAAAAGGTGACCTAAGACAGGTTCATTTTAGTTTGGATAAGGAAACGCTATTTCTGTTATATATGACAGCATCAGAACATGACAGGTTCAAAGATGGATTGTAGAAATAAGGAATTGTAGTGCCCCAAAACAAAAATAAAAACCTCCACTAATTTCAGAATTGTACCTATGTCTTCGTTCTGCCTCTGTAACCCTTAGTGGGCCTCCTGAGAGGATTCAGTCTAGATGATCTGATGAATCTCTGTAGCTGGGGGCAAAATTCTCGCTGATTTATTCTCTCTGCTGGTTCCTTCCTTCCTCCCTAGACCACACTCCCACACAGAATAAGCTACCCATTCCCGGAAGCCACACCCAAGAGATTCATCACAATTGAGTTGTTTAGATCTCCTGTGTCACAATCTCCTCAATTAAGTTATTTCATTTTATGTGTTCTTGATAGTTTGATAATTTAGATTTCATTGATCAGATGTCTGAAACCTCGACCGACAAATGTTCAATGCTCTATCATATCACATGACAATAAGATCATAAACTTAGAGGCCTTGGAGGCCATGTAGCCCAACCCCCTCATTTTACAGATGAGGAAACTGAGGAATAGAGATAGTAAGTGACTTTCTCAAGATCATCCAGCTAGTTAGTAACACAGTTAAGATTCCAACCTAAGTCTTCTGACTTCAAATCTAGCATTGTACCACACTACCTTATTTCAGGCCCTAAATTAATCCCATTGTCTAGCTCTTTGCATTGGATCACACTGCTTCAATTTAGTCTCCGAGTTATTCTCGCTAGAGGGAGTAGTTATTGACAGAAGCATGTATTATCTGCACTAGCTGGTTATTATTCAGTTTGCCCAAATAATGATAGATCAACCATACTTCAGGTTACTCCGGTGCATACTCTTAGAATTATCCTTGACTTTTTATCCCTCTCACCCCTACCCCTCTCCTTCCTTATAGTTCCCAATGCTTATTAACTCTACATCTCTTGAATGCGCCCTCTTCTCTCCACTTACACAACCTCTATCCTAATTCAGACCTCTTTCCTGAACTATTTTAAGAGCCTCCTAATTGGTCTCTCATCCCCTAGTCTTTCTCCTCTCTTCAATTCTACATAGCTATTAAAATGACGTTCCTCAAATACAGATCTTGGAGGCAGGGTGGTATAGTGAAAAGTATGCTGGATTTGGAATCAGAAGACCTGGGTTCAACTCTTACTTCTTCTACTTATTATTTATATGACATTGGACAAATCACGTTGCCGTTCTGGATGTCAGTTTCCTCTTCTGTAAAATAAGGGTGTATGACTAGGTTCTTTCCAGCTCCAAATCTATGATTCAAAGATCCATGAAACCCCTTTACTCAAAAATCTTCAGTGGCCACCTGATGCCTCTAGTATAAAATATAAAACCATCATCCTGGCCTTTAAAGACCTCCACATTCTGGATCCCACCTACCTTATTTCTGATCCAGTCAAACTTGTTTGCTAGCTATTCCCCATATGTGACAATCCATCTTCCACTGGAAGTGGAGTGCCTTTGCACAGGTGGTCCCCCAAATCTAAAATGCCCTATCGCTTTACTTCCCTCTCAGAGTATCTCTATCTTGAAAGCATAGCTCAGGTCCTCCATAACACTTTTGTTGATGCTCTCAATTATTAGTATTCCCTCTTGGAAATATTTTGTAGAATACTTTTAATTAGCTTCAATTCAATCAGTATTATAAAACTCCTACTATGTGTCAGCCACTGTGTGAGGTGTTAAGGATGAAAATCAAACAATAAAAAAATTGAAACAGTTCCTGTCTTTAGGGAGGTCATAGTCCAGGAGTATGCAACATGTCCAGAAGTAAGTACGAGTATTCTTCTCCTAGTCTAACTGGAGAAGTTTCATATACACAAATAGTTACATGTACACAAATTGAAGGCAGGCAGTATGTGATAAGTGACACATTAATGGTACAAACCATTGTGCACAGGGACTCAGACAGATCAGTGATCATCTTTGGTGGAGAAATCAGTAAAGCCTTTTTAGAAGAGAGGAACATTTGAGCTATTCTTTGAAGGACAGGTACAATTCCTTTCATTGTTATCATCATCATCATCATCATTATTATTATTATGTTACATTATTATACCTTTTGTTTTTATCACCTTTGTTTCCAAATAGGAAACTCTCTAGATCCTCGAAGGCTACTTCTTGTAACAAAGAATAAAAGACGGAGGGGGAAAATAGCAATTTGGGAAAATTAACCAACACAGCGACAGAGTCTGACAGTATATGTGATGTTCTACTCTCACTGCCCTAAGATCAGCAAAGAAAAGTTGAAGATTCATCTTCTCTTCTCTTCTTTAGGGGTAAGTTTAATCAGTATAATTATATAGCATTAAATTGTGGGTTTGTTGTTGTTTCCATTTATATTGCTGTAGTCATTGTGTATATTGTTTTTCTGGTTCAGTTTACATTACCTGGTATCATTTCATGTAAGACTTTTCATTCTTTTTTGCATTCTTTGTAGCCATTGTTTCTTAAAACACAGTACTATCCAATTACGTTCACGTAACATAATTTGTTTAGCCATCGTCCAATTGTCCGAAGTCCCTACTTTGCTTCCAATTCTTTGTTACTACAAAAAGTGTTATAAATATTTTGGTGTATATGGGAATTTTCTTTCTCCTTTTTATCTTCTTGATTTATATCCCTGGCAATGGCACCCATAGTTCAAAGGATGGGACCATTTTTGTCATTTTTTTCCTTGCCATTAATTGTCAATTGCTTTCTAGAATGGTCAAGCCAATTCACAAGTCTACCAATAGTGTATTAGTCAGTGATGTGTTGCTAAATGCTTAATAACAAGCTCTCTGGGGGGAAAATTATGTACAACACACTTTTAAGTTTAGTGTTCATTATTATCATTTTATCCATCATTTTTTTAAATCTAGACAATCAACAAAACATTAACTCAAGCCATGATTTATAGTATTTGCCAGTTTCCAGGGTATAACTGCTCACAGGAAAATTTAACAATTGGCTCTCATTAGCCAGTTGGAGCTGGCTCCTGCACATCCCTGGTGGTGTGCTTGACTTTCTACAACCATTGATGGGTTTGATTTCTATAGGCAGAGGTGTCTGAGGTGGGGTGGGAAAGGGCATTCCAGACAGAAGCAGGGCAAGACAAGACATAGAGACCCTTAAATAATTTATACATCATAAAGACCAACACCCCAACTCAAATTACTTACTTTGAAATTAATTTTGACTCTGTATTCAGCTCCTTCCTTTAGCACAAAGACCTTTTTCTTGAGAGCTTCAAGATCCCCTGTGGCGGCAGATTCAAAATGATAATTTATGATCATAGTATTATAGAGTTTAGAAAGGGAAAGACCTCAGAATCACCTGTCAATTCTCATCACCTTTTTTTACAGATGAGAAAACTAAGACCCAAAAAGAATAAATGTGTCATCCATGTATAATATAGTTAACACTGATATAGCTTTAAAATTTACAATACACTTTACATACATTATCTTTCTGTTCCTTGAATAAGACACTCCATCACCTAACTCAATGTTTTTTCACTGACTGTTCTCCATTTCTAAAATTCTCTTTCTCTTTATTTCCACCTCCTGGCTTCCCTGCTTTCCTTCAAGTCTCAGCTCAAATCTCATCTTCCACGATAAGCCCTCTCCAGGCCTGCTTAATATTAGTTCCCTCCCTCTGTGATCATTTCTAAATTATCTCATATATATCTTGTTTGAATACAGTTGTTTGTCTGGTGTCTCCCCAATTAGAACGTGAGGTCCTTGAAAGCAGGGACTGGTTTTTGCTTTTATTTGTGTTCCAGAATACATACATACATACATATATATATATATGTGTGTATATATATATATATATGTATATAGATAGAGACATAGATAGAGAGATAGATGATAGAGATAGATATAGATATATGGATAGATAGATATAGATATAGATATACATAATATATATATATAAATGATGCTTAATAAATGCTTGTTGACTTATCTCATATGACTTGTTGAGGTGCTACTATTATTTCCATTTTATAGATAAGGAAACCAGGGCTCAGAGGCAGTAAGTGATGACGCCATGGTTACACAGCTAGTAAGGGTCAAAAGCAGAAGTCAATGACAGTTCCCTCCTGACTCCATCCCTAGCACTCTTCTTACTATACTATTCCCTCTAGTAAGTAATTAGGATTCATATATAATATATACATATATAACATATGCATATAGAATGTATACACCCATATATGTATGCACATATACTGAATAGATACACCTATATACAATATATACACATATACAACAGATACACATATGCTAAATAGATACAAAATAATTTTGGAATAAGAAAAAAGACAACACTAATCACTGGGTTTTTGGGGAGAGCGACCAGGGTCTTGGACCAGGAAAAGGCCTCAAGTAGGCACCTTAGCTGAGACTTAAAGTGAGTCGGGTATTCCAAGAGAAGAAAGTGAGGAGGGACAACATTCCAAGCATTGGGGCCTGCCTGTGCAAAGATAAGGAGGTGGAAAGTTGAGCACCATTTATAGGAGTAAGTAGATCGGTGTGGGTGGCATGTAAGGTGTGTGAAAGAAAGTGATGTGAATCAGTACAGAAAGATAGGTTGGAGCCATATTTTGAATGTCCAACAGTTTACAATTTATCCTAAAGGCAATAAAGAACCATCGAAGCTTGAGCAAGGGAGTAGCATGGTCAGTCTGGTTAATTTTGCAGGTGTGAGGAAGATAAATTAGAAAAGAGAAAGACTTTCTAATAGATCTAGATGTTAGTCACTAATATATTAAGTTGCAACTTGCTAGGAAAAGAAAAATACTATTTCCTTTTTTTTGGTAGTTTAAACAGAGAAATGGAAAACTATTCATTGTTCTCCTCTGCTATGTGAGTGTAGCCTTGCATATCTTTAAACATATTGAATACATTTGGCTGAGTGAATAAAACCTACCATGTGGGCTGTATTATGCATTTCTAAGTGTTTTTCCTTAACTTCGTCCTGTTTTTGACTGATCTTATTTTGTGAAGTGAAAGCTGCACCTGATAACAGAGTATTTCACACAGGAAGAGGTTAGTTACAGTCCCAGTAAGAGAGAGAATTTCTTTCTGGGAGAGACACAGAGCCTTTTGGGGTAGTTGAGTTTTCAGTATTGTGCCTTGCTCTGGTGGTTTCAGTTGAACAGGAAGTATATCTGCTCAATTTCTTGTTTCCTCCCTCAGGCAAAATGTCCTTATATGGTAAAAGTGTAGATCTTTACAACTCTGCCCTTACACCTCCACCTAGCCTATAATTCTAGAATTGTTTATTCAACTGTCTCATAAGAGTCTGACCTTTGATTTGAGGCTAAGATATGGCCTCACTAAAGGCAAAACTAAAGTACACAGTTTGTATACAGTTTGTATACTTTAAACAATTTGTTTTCTGTGCCCCTGCTCTTCTTGGCTCTAAAACTCTCCTGCACCTCCTTTAGGCATGCGTAGTGTCCTCATGCTCTCAACCTCCCCTTCTTAAAAAAACAAACAAAAAAACAAAAAAACTTAAGGCTCAGAAAAAGCCCTTGAACTCATTCACAGCCTTATACTGATAATCTACGCAGAACTACTCTTAATTTCATTCCAAGTTTGGACTTGACCTCCAAAGTCCTTCTGGTTCTAATCTATTCAGTTCAGTTCAATTCAATTAAAACAAAAAATGATTAAGCATCTACTATGTACAGGGGCAGCTAAGTGGTGAGTGGATAGAGTGTTTGGCCTAAAGTTAGGAAGACCTGAGTTCAAATCTAGCCTCAGATATTAGCTATGTGACCCTGTACAAGTCACTTACCACTATTTGCCTCGGTTTCCTCATCTGTAAAATGAGTTGGAGAAGGAAATGGCAAACTCCAGTCTCTTTGCCAAGAAAACCCCAAATGGCATCACAAAGAGTCAAACATTCTTGAAACAACTGAACAGCAACAATGTACAGGGACTTGTGCTAGTTTGTGGAGATACCAAGCCAAGAACAAAACAGTCCCTTCTCTCAATAACCTTGTGTTCTCCAGGAGAGGGAACACAACATGTAGCCAGATAAGTAAATAAAATGTATATTAAGATTAATTTCAAGAGGGAGAGAGTAGTAATACTGGAAGAAACAGGAACAGCTTCCAATAGCAAGAGGCACTTGGATGTGTGCTTTCAAGAAACCATCCAAGGATTCTATAAGACAGGGGTGATGGGAAACTACATGCCAGACATGGAAGGACCACTTGTGGAGGTAGGAGATCAGAATGGTCCACAGAGAAAACAGCTACTAGGATAATTTGACTGGAAGAGAGAACAGAGAGGTGGGAGGAGTAAAATGAAATACCAATAGGCTAGGCTTAGGATTTTGCATCTTATCCTAGAGTCAACAGAACAAAGAAACTGACATCTTTCCAAGCCCTGGAGCCTAAAGTTAAAGGAATTATTTATTAAAGAAGTGGTGGAGTTATTGGAGAGGCAGTAGGTTTTCTCACCCCAGAAACCATAGCATTACTCCCATCAGGGTACATATAGGGTGTATTAGGTCTGCCTTATGTGGCCTCATTCAAGTGCATTGCTTTCCTTAAGTTTTCGTAAGTTTGGATTCTTAATAAATACAACATTCCCAGAGGGAACGCTCAAGTAAATGCTGAATTGTCTACATTTTTCCATCAGTAGCCTTGCTACATGAAAATAAATTCTATTCTCATTTTTCTAGGAATAATAGAATGAAGGGAACAGGAAGATACAAATGGTTTTACTGCTCCAATTCTAGCAATTTATTTAAACAGACAGAAGGCAGGTCATCACAGAGGTCCTTCTTGAGTTTGGTGTGACACTATGCATTCTGTGGATGATAAATTGTTCACTTATTCCTAACAACCTCTATATGTCACAAAGCTCCTTCTCTGGTTTCTTTGCTATAGAAAATCCACTGATGATTTGCTTCTTGTGTAAAGACCTTCCCCAACCACCTCCCCAGACTCTCAACAAGTCCATCGGAAGAAGGTAAATATTATTTACTTACCAGTAAGGTCCATAGTGATTGGTCCTGGGGCAGTGTCACAGACTAGGGTGAGTCGAGTGACTACTACATTGGGAGCAGTCGGATCTGCAGAATCCAAAAAAGAATATTAAGTAGTTGATAAAGGCATAGAGATGGGAGATGTGCGTGTATGTGTATGTGCATGACAGAGACAGACAGAGACAGAGAAACAGAGAGAGACGGAGACAGATACATAGAGACACACATGGAGAAAGATAAAAGAGACATAGAGAGACAGAGACAGAGGGATAGAATTTTTTTTTCTGTGAAAACAGCTCAATTCAATCAACATTAAATGCTGGGTATTGGAAGCAGTGGCAATATAAAAATGAAACAGTCCCTGCTTTCAAGTGGGTGGGAGTATAACACACATATATAAAAGTAAATAATTATGGGACAGCTAGGTGGTGTAGTAGATAAAGCACTGACCCTATCAGTCAGGAGGACCTAAGTCCAAATCTGACCTCAGACACTTGACACTTACTAGCTGTGTGACCCTGGGCAAGTCACTTAACCCCATTGCCTTGCCCCCCCCCAAAAAAACTATAAAAAAGTAAATAATTACAAAGTATAAAAAAAGTAATGCATAGTAATTTCAAGAGGGAGAAAGTGCCAATAGCTGCCCTGTATGGCAGCCATGCTGAGCTTTGAAGGAAGCTAAGGATTCTCAATGGGCGGAACTGAGGGAGTTCACTCCAGGCATGGAAGACTCCACGTGCAAAATGCTGGAAGCCAGGGATGGACTGTCATGTTCAGGGAGCTGCTAGCTAGCAGGGCAGTTTGAATGGAATGAGAAGTAACATGAAGTAGGTGGAAAAGGCCGTGAAGAACACTTCATCAATCAAGAATGCTAAGCGTGAGGGTTATGAGGAAAGGATCTACCTGGATTTTGGGGGTGAGAGAAAGAGAAGAAAAAGAGGGAGAAAGATGAAGAGGGAAAGAGGAGGGGAAGATGAGAGGTGGGGAAGACGGAGAAAAGGAAAGTTTTATTTCCAAGTGTAACTCCAGGAAACTTTCTCTATATGTCACGTAGTTATTTGTACCTAAAAAAAGACTGATCACATTATTAACCCTGCACCACATAATTCAGTGTAGGACCTTTTCCCAGGGGCATATCCCGAAGGAACGCTGTTTATCAGTTACTCGTAGTGATAGCAATATACCCTCCAAAGACCCCCACCACGTACCTGCTACCACAGGCCCATCCCCTAGCAGAGTTTTCTTGTACTTGGCAAGACTTTCATCATCTTTGTCCATCTCCTGCAGCTCCTTTAGAGACTTCTGAGGTGGGGGCTTGTAATTAAGCTTGCCATCCCGTTCATCCTCCTCCTCCTCCAGGTGTGTTTCGGGGTCCTTTTCTGTCATTGTGATCTACTCCACAGAAAGGGGAGGACAAGTGGTTAGCCAGAGGAAACAGTTAGTAGATGTGAAGGATCTACGCTCAGCTATGAGCACAGTTCCTGCCTTGATTCAATAAGAGAATTCAGTTCAGTTCAAGAGGAATTTAATATGTACTAAGTACTATGCAAATTATTTGGCACTGCCCTCAAGGAGCTTACATTCTAACTGTAGAGGTGGGGGTGGGGAGGAATAACATGTATACAAATAAATGGATAATATATACAAAATAAACACAAAGTGACTTTATGGGGGTTGCTGGAGGAACAGTAACATCTGGAATGATCAGGAAGGGCCTTAACTAAGGCTTAAATGGAGCTAATAATACCAAGATGAAGAGATGAGGAAATAGAGTATTCCAAGCATGGGCTAACAGCCTGTGCAAAGATGGGAGATTGGATGCTATCTGCAGAGAGCAGATAGCAGGTTTATTTGGTTAAAATATAGAGTGTATGATGGAGAGTAATATGAAATCAGGCTGAAGAAATTTGTTGCAATCAAATTGTGAAAGGTGTTCAATGCCAAACAGAATACTTTGAACTTTATTCTAAAGGCAACAGGTGGAAGGAAGCTCGTGGGGGTAGGGGGGAAGAGGGGAGAATGTGATAGTTTAGGAATGACTAATCTAGAGGATGTGGGCAGCTAGGTGGCGCAGTGCACAGAGTGCCAGATCTGGAGTCAGGAAGACTCATCTTCCTGAGTTCAAATCTGGCCTCAGATGCTTCCTAGCTGTGTGACCCTGGGCAAGTCACTTAATCCTGTCTCCTTCAGTTTCCTCATCTGTAAAATAAGCTGGAGAAGGAAATGACAAACCACTCCAGTATCTTTGCCAAGAAAACCCTAAATGGGGTCATGAAGAGTCAGACATGACTGAAAAATGATTGATCAACAACAATCTATGGGGTAAAATAACTTAGATATCTGTATAGCCTGTCCTATGTAAGCAAATGTAAGGACACTCTTTTGGTGGTGCAGTGGTAAGAGTGGAGTAAATAAGGCCCAAGTTCAAATCTGGCCTCAGACACTTACTACCTTTGAGATGGTGGGCAAGTCACTTATCCTTTCAGTCTCAATTTCCTTATCTATAAAATGAAGGATTTGGACTCAGTGGTCTCTAAAGTCTTTATTTCTCTATTTATGACTCTATGGCTCTATTAGTCAGATCGTGGCAAGGGGAATAATAAGAACGGAAGCAGTGACAATTTATCACATAGAAGAGATAGAAAGGAGATTTGTTGAGTTGAATCACTGAGAATCACTACATGACTTTTGGTTCCTAAGAAACCAGAAACAAAGTTAGGGAAACAATTTGGAAATTAAACCAAACCTCAGACTTGAAGAAAGACCTTTTTACAGAATAATTTAAAAAAAAAAATCCTCCTCCTACATATCTTGGCTCAACAACTCCTTTTCAGTTAGATTACAACGACAATAAAATGTCAGTGTTTCATAACTCAGAACACAGCTCTTATTGCAGTGCTCAGGTCTGTTTCCTGTACAGGAAGGAAGCACGTGGCTTATTCCTGTGGCAACGCTTGCCTTAGCTTGAGAACCATTTAGAGCTCAAGAGGTTTGTTTTTGGAATTTAATAGAAATAGAGGTCTTAAACAATCAAGCCACAGAAAATGAAATTTAACAAGTCATAAAGGACATACCAAAGAATAAAACAACTCTAGTCTAAGACACATGTAAAGGAAAATTCTATCAAATATTAAAAGATCAATTAAAAACCTCTGCTTCATAAATTTTCACAAAATAAAACATTATACAAAATTCATTTCTAGACAAACATGGCTTTATTAGCTAATCCATGAAAGTGAAGAAAGAAAACTATAGACCAAAACTGCTAATTAATACATTAATGAGTACTGATGCAAAAATGTCAAATAAATTCCTAGCAAAGAAACTATTTATCATAACCAAGTTGGATTTATATTAGGGACTCAAGGTTGTTTCAATATCAAAAAAAGTTAACATACTTAGCCACATAAAAACAAAACTATGATTATATCAAATGCAAAAAAGATCCCCAAAATGCATTTATTCATGCTTAAACTCTAAAAAGTATAAACATGCAAGAGGCACTTTAATGATAAATTATATATATATAATATATATACACACACACATACATATGTGTGTGTGCATGTGTATGTGTATGTATGCGTGTGTATGCCAAAACCTAGCATTATTTGCAATAGGGAAACATTAGAAGCTTTTCTAATAAATACAAGGGTAAAACAAGGATGCTCCCACTCCTCACTGTTTTTTAATGTAACCCTAAACATGCTAGCAATAGTAATAACAACAGAATGAAATTAAATGGATAAACATTGACAAAGAGGAGATAATTGTTACTATTTGCAGATGACTTAGAAAACTCCAGAAAATTAGGAAAGAGTCTGATTGAGACAATAGCTTCTATAGAATAGCAGTATACAAAATAAATTCACAAAATTGTCATTATTTCTATATAGGAATAACAAAATCTTGGAGACAATAGAGGAAACCCCATTCAAAATAAGTACAAAATGAATAAAATATTTGGTTATTAACCTACCAAGGCAATTCAAGATCCATAAATACAATTACAAAGCATAAAGTAATAAATAAGAACAAACAATTGGAGGAGTATTCATTGCTCATGGTTAAGCCATTTCAACAGGATAAAAATGATCTTACTAAGTTAATTTACAAATTTAATGCTATGCCAAATCAAGTTATCAAAAGGTTGCTTTATAAAGCTAAACAAAATAGAATTTTAAGGAAATAAAAAGGAAATGAAGGAGGAACAGAACTTTTAGACCTTAAATTACATTTTAAAGCAGTAATCATCAAAACTACTGGTGCCAGTTCAAAAATAGAAAAATAGATCAGTGCAACAGAATCACAATCAAACTTAACAGCCCAACTGTTCAATAAACCTAAGTATATAAACCACTTGATAAAGAATTTTCTATTTAACAAGAACTACTTAAAAAACTGAAAAATAGTCTGGCAGCAAGTAGACTTAGATCAACACTTTGGTCTAAATATACCATAATAAAGCTCAAAGTGACCATACAATCTTAATATAAAAGGACACTTTAAAAAAAATAGAAGGAAATAAGATCATGTACCTTTCATAGAGTTTGCTAGGGGGAGAATTCTTTGTTTTAAAATAATTTTTACCGATATCTTTTATCTTTATATTTTCTAAATCTCCCTCCTATATACATACTCCTTTTCTTCCTCCCATAAAGCCATCCCATATAACAAAAAATTTAAGAGCACAAAGGAGAGAAAAAAATCAGCAAAATCTATCAGCACATCAAAAAATTCAGACAATATATGCACCGTTCTACAACTATGGATCATCCACACACACACACACACACACACACACACACACCTACAAAAGTGTAGCAGAAGGTGTTTTCTCATGTCTCTTCTTTATCAATCAATCAATAAACATTTATTAAATGCCTACTATGTGCCAGATACTAATGTTAATCAGTAGGGATACAAAAAGAGGCAAAAGATAGTCCTTGCTCTCTAGGAGCTTAAAATCAAAAGGGGAAACATGTAAATATATATATTTACAAAATATATACTTGGATTATAAGGAATTAAGAAGGGAGTAAAAGGATGAGGAGTCAGTCTTGTTTGTGTGACTTTATAACATTCATTTTCAATAGTTTTATGCTTTTTCCATTTAAATTATTGGATTTATTGTATATATTGCTTGCTTGGCTCTGCTTACTTCACTTTGAATCTGTTCTTGCAAATTTTTCTGTGCTTTTCTCTATTCATCATATTCATTGTTTCTTATAGCACCATAAAAAATCCATTATACTTATGGTTTAGAAGTGACTAAAAAACTTAATTGATGTACTTTGTTTTCAGTTCTTTACTACCACAACAAGTATTGTTATAAATATTTTGGTGAATATGGAGATTCTTTGTTTTATATGGATCAAAAAGTTCACTTTTAACCCTTTTATTTGCATAAAAAAGACAAAATAGGGCATTTTAATTACATTCCAATGTAATTAAATAGTTTTTGCATCAATAAAATCAGCATATCTTAGACAAGAATGGAAACTGTTTATTGAGAAAAACATCTTTGCATTAAATATTTCTGAAGTCTGACATGTAAGGAATACATGGAATTAATAAAAAACATATAAGACACAAAGTCATTCCACAATGGTTAAATGGTCAAAGGAAATGAACCAAAAATTCTCAAAAGAGGGTTTTCAAACTGTGAATAGCCAGATCAATGAATGCTCCAAATTAATAATAAAAAGAAACATACAAATCAAAACAATGCTGATATTTTACCTCATATTTAGCAAAGTGGTAAAACTGATAAAAATAGTCAATTTTGAGGGATGGCAGGAAGACAAGCACACTAATGCACTGTTAATAAAGTTATGAATTAGTCTAAGCATTCTAGAAGTCACTTTAGAATTGATGTTAAAAAATGATTAAAATATTCATATCCTTTTCCCCAGACAGTCTAGTGCTAGGCAGTGGCCTCCAGGGAAATCAAAGACTAAAAGAAAGTTCTCATATATACCAAAATATTCAAAGCAGCATCTTTTTGTAATAAAGAACTAGAAACAAAATAGATATCGATCGATAAGGGAATGGCTAAACACATTATAGTACATGAATGTAAATAAGATACTATAAATAAGAAGAACTTAAAGAAGCACAGGAAAACTTATATGAAATTATTTTTGTTGTTTAGTTGTTTTTCAGTCATGTCTGACTCTTCATGACCACATTTGGGGTTTTCATGGAAGAGAGATTGGAGTGGTTTGTCATTTCCTTCTCTAGCTCATTTTACAAATGAGGAAACTGAGGCAAACGGACTTGCTCAGGGTCACATAGCTAGTGTCAGGCTGGATTTGAACTCAGAAAGATGAGTCTTCCTGACTCCAGGCCCAGCACTGTATCACCTGTGCTACCTAATTGCCTCATATAAA